GAGTTAATTAAATCACAACAAGAGCTGGCTTGCAATAAAACACTGTATTTGGCAAAACTTTATTAAATCATGTAAGCCATATAATCTTACTGACCACGGTTTCCCATTCAATAAGTGGTATTCAAATTGGCTTTTCCATTTAAAGCTTTTAGAAAATGCTTTGAAGAAAATTAACAACAGGACAATAGTAAAACGGTAGTCATTCAAATATTTTTTGTAAAAACTTCAGTAAAATAAAAGTCAAAATACATATCTGGCACAATTATCAAATGTAAGATGCATAGTACCATGTCATATGTTTGGTGAGCACTTGGAGAGGGAGTAAGTATCAGAAAAATTATCACAATACATAAATTGGCTTTAGATGCCAGTGGAGTGCAAATTTAAAGCTACATCATTGCAAAACATTGCAAAAGAACTAAGCCAGTAATATCCTAATCGATTTTTAAAAGGATCCTATCAATTTTAAAAGAGCAGAATTCATAATCGTTATGTTGATGGTGTTCATGCATCAGGTGGCTCTATCTTTAACAGCAAGAGAGCACCTGAACGCATGTGAGGTCCTTATTTATTTCTGAAGAGCAGAAACTTAAACTTCAGATACACATAACAAGAATTTTCTTTTTATGTACCATGCATTTGCTTAGATCAGCACGTCCTAGGTGGTAAAATGATGTAAAGCCAATTAATTGCATGGGTAGGCTTGGATAGAGCTTCATTCATTTATCCCTTCAGTTCAGACAAAATCAAATACAAAGATCTGCTTTATGCCTGCCACCATTTACCTGCCCCGTTTAGTTCAAACAGCGAGATTTATTGTACATCTTCACCTCCCTCTCCATCCCCGTTCATTTCTGGAAACATCCCAATCTTATTCTGACAAGTCTAGGGCCACCTTTTCACAGTAACAGGATTTAGAGAGAAACTCCTTGAAACAAAAATTTGAGAGCACAGCTGTTTCCTGAAGTTGCCAAAATCCGAACCCAAACAAAAAATAAGCACCTTATTACCCAACATTCAGTATGACTTTTCCCAATGTGTTACAGCTCTTAGTGTAAATGGTTACAAAATGCCACAAGGCAATGAAAATTCCTTGGAATTATGGCCTAAATTGGGTAACTACCTGTAGACTTCAGATGATTTGCAGAATGTGCAAGCCTCAAGTAGGCTACAGGTGAAAAATACACTTCAACTTGTCAGACTCGCCATGTGTATTTGATGAGTTATTAACTCTATTTCGCTTTTTGCAATGCAATTACAAACATATTTCATCTAGTTCACCAACATGAACTTCAATGAATTTGAAGTATAACTTTAACTAAATGTTTATTAAGTTCATAATAAGATCCTACAATATTATTCTAACTGGCAGAACCTGACGTCAATATGTTAAGATTTTCCTGATGTTTTTAATTTATGTTTTGTTCAAAATAATATGAAATGTTCAATTCCCCATATTTTCAACACATTTGTGCTCTTCAAAATCTGTTATGAATCAGATTTTGCAAATTTCCATGTCAAGTAGTGTCTTACTTTATCCATTGCATACTCAAATATAAAGAGTTTTTCAATAAAATGTTTTTAATTCTTTACAGATAACATGCTACATTGAAAAACAAGACAAGGCAAACTTTCCTGTTTTCTTCAAAATATGTAGAGTATATCATATGGTAAGGTTTTCATCTTTTTCAAAATACTAAAGTTAATAGATTGAAAGAGTTACTACATCCTAACTAGCAATAAGATCTTAAAGCTATAGTGTACTTAGAAAATAAAATTATTTAATGCCAGCCTTAATCACATCCTACCCTACTGTGCCCAGTTTTATCTTGCTGTTATCAGCGTAAGCTATTTTTATGTGATTTTCTTAAAACAAATCACTTATGCCTTGTCTATAATGCTCATCACAAAAATGATAGATGTCTTGGCTGCACTATAAAGTTTTTTCTTAGAATCCCATCAATATATTATCATGTAACCTCACAGTGTAATGGGTGATTCAAGGTGGCGTAATAAGTGTGTACTCTCCAAGCAACTAGCAGGTTTCACATTTGTCTCTGAATACAACTGAAGAAATTTAATAAATTGTGCTCTATTTTTCATGTATGTGATATTGGTAAACAATATTTTAATAAAAAAGTAATGTTGAATTATCAAACACTGGGATTTTTTTCAAATGTCTGAGGGTAAAATGCAGCTTTTATAGATAAAGACAAAACATCAACATGGTCATCCACAAAATGAATTCAAGCAATCAACGATAATTGGAGAAATAAAAAAGATTGCAGCCCTTCTGGGAAATGTCCTATAATTAGTGACATTTCATTTGTAAATCTGATAGTGAAAATAACTCCTTCCCTTTAAAATGCAACGTTCTTTCAGTTAACTTCATAGATATATCCAGCTTATAAGGAGCGTCTCGAGGAGCACCACTTTCCTTCCCACACAACTGCTGAGTAGTGACACTCTCCTTTGTGACATTTCCAATACAAGTAAAAGCCATCATTTTGTATTCAATTATGCAATGTGTTTGTGATCCTTGGCATCGAACTGATTTCCAAATTACTCAAATATCCCTGATGGCCAAAGCATGAATTTGCTTTTTCGACCAATTAACAAAATTGGGGATTATCAGCGCAACAGTCCCAAGATTAATTAGTAGGAATTCACTGAGGTAAGGTCAAACAACTTCCATCCAATGGCATGAGAATTCCCACATCTCTTAGAAAAAGGGATCAATAATAGAAATTCTGATTACAATGGTGCTGATGGATAGTTTATAACAGAATTTACAAAATTATCAAACGAATAATTCTTCATTTAAAGTATACATATCTGCTCTAGATCCAGATTCTTTACCACAAGAATTATCTTCAGTTTTATTTTACAAACATGTTCATGATTTTATCATGTTATCAACCAAAAGATTTCCTCAAAACTTTGATAACCTATTTGCTGTCCAAGAAACCAGCAAACTCAGGTCCCTTTGTAATGCAACCCATCTAAATACATCACAGTAACTGAAGGTTGTTGAACTCATTTTACTTCAGAACTGGTCAAGTTGATAATGGAAAGGTGGGACAGAATCCATGCCTCAAGAAAATACTGGTGATAATAGAGAAAGGAAGCAATGAACCAGAAACTGATTATCATGCACCTTGACTTCAACTTGCCACAGTTTAAAGGATTGGACAACAAATGATGCATTTAGTTGATATCCAGTCGACAGGAGTCCTTAGGGAAGACAACAGAAGGCAAATTCATTAATCTTAAAGTGCCACGCCCTATATGTTGCACTGTTCACATGCATTACCATGAAGACCAGCACAGCATTAAGTAAAGCAAATGTTTCTACCACACTTACAATGTGCCAATATTCATATGTGAGAATAAGTATTTTGGACAAGCAAAACACATAACAAAACTTCTAATATTTTGTTGGAATGGGCATAAAGCTTTTTAAAAAAATTATTTTTCTCTTCCACTCCATAATGCTTTAGACATTCCATCTTTACCAACATATGGATGCATGGGAAGATGTTTATTTGCAATACTAAATAAATGCAAAGGGTCAAACTTATTTCACTTCCTCTTGGTAACAATAAAAAAATTAGGGAACTGCCCAATTGTTGTATATGTAACTTTTCCTATCTCCAGAATTAAGTCAAGGTACACATTCTTCAAAAGATATGAATTGTTCATACCGCTGATCAACCGTAGCATTTTAAGCACTTCAACCCTACTGTGAAGAAGGATCTACGAGGTGCATCAGGAGAGTGAGGCGTTCAATCACCCCATTTTCACCACACAGGTCTACACGAGATCGTATAATGAGAATCCATTTTTCAACAGGATGGGATACCAGTCTGACAGAGAGATATTCACATGAATGCATAAACATATTAGACCATGTGTGGTTTGAAGAGAATACTGACATTTTTTTTTTTTAACTTGAATACTAAATTTCCAGAACTATGTCCAAAAAAGGATGATTCTAGGACAATTCCCTCCCCCCCCCCTCCAACCAGGCAATTCCCCCACCAGACAATCCCACACCCCTAAGACAACCACTCTATCCCAGAAAAGAAAATACACTGCATTTGAATTATTTATTTGAGGCATTTATATACTTATCTTACTGAAAATAATTTAAAAAAAACAAAAATGAAATAATACAAAAGGACTGGGTGTTAATTATAAGATTTAGGTCGTTCATTTAAGCCCTTAAACAGACCTGATACATGACCTTAAATTATTAGATGTAATAGATACAAATTTTCCAATTAAGCATGACATGTCATTTTTTAATCAAACAAATACTACCATTTTATCAATTTTGCTGAAAAGTGAAAAGATGTCATTTTATATGCATTTTATCTGATGTTAGATCAGAATAACTGGCTAAGTAAATAATAATTAGTTGTTTCCTTTTATTTGCAATGAATATCTTTAGTGCAACATCATACAAAGTGCTGTCTACTCTAAGTTAACTGCACATAACACTAGTGACAGTTATATCTTCAACCTTTTCAAAAGAGCTATATTATAATCCTTAATTAGGATGTCTGAATTTTTTTTAGAAAATTTCAAGATGTTGAAATACCAGTACCATGGTTCCAGAAGTATTTATTTCAATTTTCTCTTAAGAAACTTAATGGGAGCTCTTATAACTGTGTTTCACCAATGTTCAATAGTTATGTCTCAGGAAATACTTTCTGATAGCTAGCATCTCCAGAGGAACCATGCCTATTTGATTAAAAAATAAAAAAAACACTTTCTGATGATCCTCTGTGCAAGACATTACATCATGAGTTGACTGTCGGATCCTTGCAAGAACCTCTTTGGATATTTGCCAGAAGAAATTTCCAGAAAAACTTTGCCTGATGACATCAAAGTAAAAGGAACCCATTCCAGGGGGCAGACAATTGGTGATAATATTTGGTAAAGTTCCCCACAAGTGTTTGCAACAACAGGGTTATAATTTGTCAGGATTCACTTACCTTTGGTTCTGGGACTTTGGCCAGTTCGGCCAAACTGTGACACAGCTGAATGTGTTTAAACTGGAAGGGGTTGTTCCTTTTGTCTTCAAAGGAGCGCATTATCTTATCACTCATCCATTCAACCTGGAATAAAAAATATCAAGTCGGTACATTGTTTAGATATATTTATGCTAATTTTCTATTTATTTCAAAAAGAAAACCCAGTTTGCCAATATACTTCACATTAAAAAAATCAGTATCTGTCAAAACATCATATTGGGATTTTTATCTCAAAGGTAATCTAATTTCATTTTATCCCTTGTTGAGAAAGCCAAATGAAAACCCAGGCAGTAACTACAGACTTTAAAGTTAGCGTGGGAGGTTCAACCACCTATTTACAAATTTTATCACGATTCTCTTTGGTAAAATCGATTTCTAATGTCCCTGCAGATTGGACTCTGTCTAACACGATCTCTAGTTGACATCTGGAATTGTTTTTAAAAAAAGTGCAAGCTCTTCTAGGCACTGTGTATATTGTATGCCTAGATACAATAATAAGACTATGGTTGAGGACCCCTTTCTCTATTAAAAACAGTATACATGATGATAATGATGAAATGAATTTTAATTGTTTGATTATTAATATAGTCTTAAATGCTATTGGAACTTATTTATATACTCAGTCAAAAAAATTATTTTAAAATTTAATGAAATCAGATTTATTCACTGGTATAAAGTAAATTTATTAACCTTGTAATTAAAATTTTTTTCTCTCTAACAACCTAAAAGCTAAACAAAATGCTATGGTATGATTAATAAAATCTCACCGACTGATACCACTGCAAAAAGGTTTTCAATCAAAGCTTAATTTGTTGATGTTTACCTAAGATGCTGTTTTATAAATTTGTGTAAAATGATAATTTGTACTCCTAATTTTTAAGTAGTTGTTGACAAATTAAAAAAATTAGCTGTGCTAACCTGTGCCTACCCTCTACCAAGGCTGCAGATTAATTGTGTGCACTTTTCAATGCAACCCTGTAACTTTAGGCCAGATGGAAGCAATTAACTCTACCTGCAATTGCTTTTGTATTCACGCTGCAGTAAAAAAAAGTGACTAAATACTAGTTTGTATATTATCATTTTCAACCAGAAAGTCTAGATTTGGCATGGGAATAACTGCAAAAATTGCACCACTCAAGTATTTTGTAAGAAATTCTCGCTGGACAAAATGGCAGTCAACTTCTAATCATGAAACAAATGAAGTGGTTTTTTTTCTAATGCAGATATAGGACCTGTACTTACCAACAATTAGCAGGGCAATGTAGCATGGGCTAGTAAGGTATCTTTAGTTGGTTTAAGGGTGAGCTGATGCCTTTTTCTATCTTATTTTGATTTTTATTGCATGTGGACCAAGTTTTTGTTTAACAAACTTCTGCCAGGTATATCAGGCAATTTTTACTGAATGTTTCCAAAAAACACTTACATGATGTTGATCATTTTTCTTCTTTCTTTATGGTAAACTAGTGTGGTATTTTAAAATCATTTTCTATGGTTCGTAGTTTCATTAACCACGCAAGGTGACAACAAACCAAGCAAATTTCACACAATCAGTGATAACTTTCGATAAAATATCTATGAGCTTCACATTATGGTAAGTGCTAACATATCACAACAGATTCAAGATGTTTTTGCCATCTTTAGAAACATCATCTATTGACAGGTAATAAGGTGAAGCACAAATGAATGAGAGAACATAAACATGAAGTGTCACTTGATTTCTTTAACCTTTTCTACAGAGGAGCATGACCCTCATGGGGACAGACAAGATCCCATTTCCGATTTTTGCATGAATGCAGAATTAATACTGCTCATACATGAAACCTCACAAGGACATAGAATAGATTTCTGAGGATGCATTGACTAAGCAATATTAATTACCCATATTTAAGTCAAAAAAGTCTTTTTATCATTAAAATGTGTCAAAATTAAGCTTTGGCTTTACAGATTAATATGGTTGAAATAAAGGCTACACCAAGCCGATGGCTACAATCCTGCATTTCAGAGAACATGGGAAACCGACATCTGTACTCTAATCATGTCTGTCCCATTGAACTAAAAATATCATAGTAATATCTATTTACATTTTTTTCATATTCAGTTCATTTGCCTAAAAGCATCTTTCGGAAAATTTCCAGTGCAATGTTAAAATACATATCTTCTGACATTTGAAATTTAGATTGGAGGAAATGAATATTGCTGAATAGGGACATTTTTTGTTACTTATGAATATCCATCAGTCAATGTGGCATTGTGGTGGTTGAGAAAATATACCAGTGGTGAGTATGCCATGAAAGTATTTACTTATGGACCCATGCACATCTGTAGGGTGCCGTCAGTAAATAGCAAAGGCAAGGTGAAGAGGTATGTTATAGTGTTATATGCAGTGTCTGTATTACAATTATTGTGTAAGGTTGATTAAAATTGTTGAGAATTATATTTTTACTTTGTTGAAGTTTTATTCATTGCTATGTGTATACAGCATATTGTAGTTAACAGTATATCAATGTTAATGATTCAATGATACATAATACATAATGTTAAGTTTCCATGCCTCTGATTATTTTGTCAGGTGAAACACACGTAAATTCTACACATTACCTCTAATAGTGCATACATAACAATATTATCATTGTTACAAATTTTGAATCAAACATTGCTACACACATCTGCTGGTATTTGAGGTTCGTCAGTGCAAAGAAATCAGAAAAATTGTGATCTAAGCTTAATGATATTTCAGTATAAAAGAGCTATTTGTCCACCAAGCAGAAAGCTAAGTGGACATAGATATAAAACCACTATCATTATCATAATTATTGCTGTCATTGTTGTTGTTGATGTTGTTGTTTAGTTTTCATCCTTTATTTGTAAAACTTGTATGGAGTGCAATATCTTCATTTATAGATTTAGTTTGAGTTTTAGTTTTTTTGAGTTTCATGTATTCTGCATCATGCTCATGTGTTACATGCATGAATAAACTGTAAATGTTTATCTGTTACTTAATAATGTGGAGGTCTTCATCGATAAACACACAAAAGTGTACATCTGTTTGTGATAATATATTATCTTTTTAAGGTTTTTCAACATTCACCAATAATGATTTCAGTAACAACAGGATGTTAATAACAAGGAACACTGATTCACAGAACAACACTGTCATTAAAATACTTATTTAAAAATAATAATAATAATAATAATAATAATAATAATAATAATAATAATTTTTGTTCCTTTAAACCATAACAGAAAAGAACACAACACCACTCCGTAATTGTGTCCCTACTTCAAGACAAACATTTTCATTCCCAAGTTCAAACAGACTGCTGATGTCTATACAATTTCACAGCAGGTAATCTGCAAAATCAAATCAACAGCTATGATCTTCATCAGTGCCCCAATGGTAATCTGCCCAATCACTACAAGTAACATTGATAAGATGTTCGCATGCAAGGAGAGACTGAAAGTTATCAGAACTGATTTTCCAATGACCTTTTGGCCAGAATAATGTGGTCCACAAAATTTCTGTGAAACATCCCTCTGAGAAATAGGACCTGATTTGATTAGGAGTGTCATGAATTTATTGAAATGGCTAAAGCCCCAGCCTTTTTTTGAACTTAACACACTAGTGTTATATAAAAGTTGACCTTGCTTGATCCTGTCAAATGCTAATTTAAATTTAAAAGTACTTCAATTAACAAGTTAATTCCAACAGGCAAACCTTCAAAGAATACTAATATTTCTAATGACTGAACTCATTAATATCACCAAACATTAATCTAATAATAAATCTCAACATTTGATTGGCTGTACCCACCCCCTCCCCCAATACCACCAGACTGGCCCCAATTTTAGACACCAAGGTGAATCACACACACACACACACACACACACACACACACACACACACACACACGTAGCCTGGTTTATCTTAAAGTGTGAAACATGCCACTTTCACCCACTGTTTGTATCAATCATCCCTGTAAAAGTGTGAAACAATTCTGTCTATAATGGTATGCAGTGAAAGCCTACACAAACAAAGCACTTTGTATCTTGATCAAATTTTTATTACTGGTTTCTATGTAAAACCTGCAATTCAAAGCAAGAGTTTTTTTCTCCATATATCATTTTCTTGACTTTTTTCCTCTGCTTCTCAGGCCCTCCAAAAAACAGCTCTCTATCTCACTGTTCTATTTGCTTTCATACTGATCTATGCTTTTCCTTCTAATTTTTATCAGAACAAAATTTTCATCCACAATGTGCACCATTTACATCAACGTAATCCAAAACTTCTATTGTCTTACACTTTGTGTCATTAAACTACCCATATTAAAGACAATATCATTATGCATCACCAAAATATTCTTTGTCAGAGATTTCAGTACCTTACATTTCACTCTCACACATTCCATTGATGGGGTTCTTTTAATCAATACTACAACTTAAATCCTATACTGTTCATAATTTTAATCTGACATACCACTAATCTGACCAAAAAGCAAGTAAGAATGAATAAATATTGGTTCACAGACAAACATATTACTGTTAAATAACTTGTAATGATTTCTGGTTCAATAAGTGGCAAACGTCTTTCAAGTGATTTCAGAGAAACATGCTTTGACCACAAGTTAACAGAAGAATGACAGATATTCAAGTTATGTTTATCTTGCTGTAAATTGCTTAATTTAATGTAAAACGTTCCAACTTCATTCTTCAAACTTTTCAAAGATTAAAAATAATTGCACAAAAGACACATCATTTCTGCATCTTTAATCCAATTTTTGCTTTCCATGTGTGTCTTCACTCTGTGTGCAGTCTATGCCGATTAAAACTGACATGCAGAATATCAGCTTAAAGAAGGCAAAATTTGGCAAACAGTACAGGTTTTTCCACATGCCTTTTCCTGCTACAAATAAATAAATAACTACAACTGTCAAACTTATCTGCTATCTATACAAATAAAAAGATAAAAGATAAAGATTTTGGAAAAACAAATGAAGTACACGATTTCCTATGTGGGAAGGAGAGATAATTGTCAATGATATCTAGTAATCTTTAAAAAATGGGATAACTCAAACAGAAATTGACAA